AATTACATGAAAATGACTAAGTCAGAAGCTTTGCACCTTAAACCACATTTTTTGCTCCTAAGCCATATCTTTTGCACTCTAAGCCATAACATATGCATGTTAAGCTATAAGCTTTATACCTAAGCCATACCTCTTGCAGTTAAGCTAGAACCCTTACACCTTAAGCCAAAATCTTTGCACCCTTTGATTTTGGTACCCCAAATTAAAAAATATATTATGGGGAGTAAGAATATCATGCTCATATTAAACTACATCATACCCTATACAAAAAATAAATAAGAGAACTCTCACAATAAGTTCTCTCTTTTTTAAGTATTATTATACATCAAATAGCAAGCTATGTTAACTTGTAAAATATGCAAATTCAATAAGTAACATTTAAAACAACTGAATTGTCCAAAAAAAAAGTAAATTTGAAAAGTTAGAATGAACAACAATAATTTCAATCAAAGAACATTAATTCCATTAGGTTTGGTTTATCTTTCTATCAAGTATCATCAAAATGATAAATGAAGACCATAGGTCACCCCATATTAAAAGATATACTATGGGGGTAAGAATAACATCATGTCCATATTAAATTACATCATATCCTATACAAAAAACAAATAAGGGGGACGGCTATATATATACTTCAAAATACAATCACATTTTTATTCAATCTTTTAGGGGAATCCCTTTATTAGCTTTTCCTTGTAGCTCACTGAGTTATGAGATGCATGCAAGAGCTTCTTGACTTGAACTTATTTTTCTTTTCCTTTTCAGACAAAGCCATATGCTTTAGTACATATAAAAACATTATGCCTAAAATAAAAATTAGTAGCCATCATAAGTAAGTCATTCAAGCATTAATATATGACATCTATAAAATTACAACTAGCTTCTCAGGAAATAGAAGTTTAACACTTTTTTTATGGCCAATAAAAAAATGGACACCATACAAGAATTTTTTAACTCAAATTAACATAGATTTATAACAAAGTAAAGTATGAAATTTAACCACATCAGAGAATCAACCATAAATTTGCAACATAATATAGGCCAAGACTATAACCTTTAATAGTAGAAGACTCAAAAGAATGGTCCAATAAAAAGGCAAGTGAAACACATGGTTAGTCAAGCATATCTGAATACTTACATGATTTCATGATGATGTTAGGAATGATTTAGTCAAGTAGATCATAGTCAAGTATCTCATTTACATTATATCTATTGCAAGATAAAGTGATTCTAGACAAAATAATTGCATTTTGTATGCATATGACAAAATGGAAAGCTCACATATATTTCAAAACAAGCTATCTGAAATATAGCACAGATTTATTTAAATAAACAAGATCAACAAAAACGTGCATACTGCACTTTTATAGTTCTTGTATAATTTCTCCATTCTAGTAGCAACATTATAAGGTAGAGATCCTGCTTCTGCTTCTTTCTTGATTCTCAACAGAAGTTGTACAAAAATACAAGAAACATTCAACAGTAAAACAACTTATTAGGTTTTGATATAAAAACTATGATAGAAAATAAGAGTACTATAAGAACTAAAATTTTACATAAACTATGCCTCAAAGTACTAAATTCAATAAGTGGCTCTATTTAATAATCAAACTACTCTTCTAATCTTTACACAACATATCAGGAAGCATCTAATAGAGAATCATGATAAAATCTGAATTCCTTCAAATTTTAGATCAATTAAAAAGTTGTCATCATCGTCGTCGTCGTCGTCATCATCATCATCATATCCTCAATTGAGATTTAAGTTCAAATCCTTCCTCAACCTTATAAACAACTCCAGCACCACTAAGCCAAAGAGTCATTGTTTATTGGCAAAAGAAGGAAAGAAATTATCAAAAGAAAAGACTCTTACTTATGACCAGACACCACCTTTCTGAATCATATAATTCACTTTCCACCATTGCAGTTAGTAGAATCTTGAAAAGAAAAATAGTACTGTCATTGAAAATTTATACTGATGAGGCAAATTTTTTTTTGGCCAGATAGTGGAGAAAATCATATAAAAAAGGGGAAACAATAAATTTTCAATCATTTGAAAATGAAACTCCAAGGTCAGGCTTCTTAAGATCTACCTCCCATAAAGGGCGAATTCATTCCTTAAAGAGGTGCAGATCTGTTGGAATTGGCAAAGAAGAAGGGTGAGAAAGATGGCGTTTGTTAAGAACAACAAGTTACTAGGCATGCTAGAAACGCTGAGTTTCAATTGATAACAAAAGGTCCTCAGGCTCCCTTATCACAGTTTACCCAGATGTAAAAGATACGCAAGACTCGTAGAATAAGTGTTTGATTATTATTAAAACGTTATGAAACATAAACGATTACAAGTCTGGATTGAAGATAAAACTAATTGATAAGCCTAAGAACCATAGGTGCAAAATGTGAGTCTTTCAAGTGCTGTCACATCTTCTTCTGTAATTTGGTGCTCTATTTATAGTGATAGAGTGATGGTAGCTTCTTCCTTAAAATCTAAAATGTTCTTACAAATAATTAGGGATCCTACGGAACTCATGGCATGGTCCTTAATAACTGTTTTTCATTTTTAGTAACTAGCCCGTTTCGCCAAGATACTTAAGCACGATGATGCTATTCCCATGAAATCCAAGATCATTTGAGATCGTGTCTTTATATACCAATGGCTTATAGAGTAGGTTTGCAATTAGTAAAATTTTGACATGCCCATATGGCTGTAGCTTCCCATTGAGCTTGGGGCTAGCTCTTTTATTTAGATTGTTAATTAGGCTTGACTCTTCAGTCACTTAGTCCATATGACTTCATGGCCTACTTAAATGCTTTTGACAAGCGATGTTTTATATTTAGCCTAAATAGATGGCAATAACATACCTAAAATCCTTCAACCTACATACAGATAATAGTTATAACATATCAAAAGAATGTCCTAGGAATGAAAGCTAACAATTAAGCAAGAATTCAATTGCAATTTACTAATCCAACAACATAGCAAATCTCACAGTATTAAAATCAGCAATTTTCTTTATGTTATCCTCATATGATGTCTGATTTTGAACTCCAGGTGTTTGGCAAGTGTACCAAAATACAAATTTGTGCTAATAAGAGGAAAAGCCATCAAAAGATAAATGAGAATGTCATGTAGAGAAATAAATTAAAGCATCAACATACACTTATAATGTAGAGAAGCTATCAAACCAAATCATTAATATTTCATCTTTCCTTTTAGAATTAAAACCAATATTTAGATTAACCTAAAAGATTTTGAACCCATAGAAAAAAATTAAAAACCAAAATGAAAATGAAAGAGAAATTGCACAAAGGAGATAACCTGGCTGGTTTAATATTTGAGAGAAAAGACAAGTAAGAAATTAAGCACCAAAATGAAGGTGTCAAATCGACTATACAACATTTGATGATATAAGAAGTGAAAAACTAGTCAACAGATATTGGTAAAGAAGAAAAGAGAGGGATTTGTAATAAATAGAAATATTTATAAAAAAAGCTATATAACAAGTGAAAGCGAAATCAGCAATTAATCCAAACTTCAAGGGAAATCTATAAACAGCTACCTAAAGGTAAAAGGAACAATGAAAAGGGGTCTAAAGTTAAAAACTGGTGAACATATCATCTTGTGAGCGTAGAACACCTTAGCGACGTGTCTTAAACAAAATTAATGAAGTTCGACCAATTCTAATGTCATTTCTAGAGATGGAAAAACAAAATAGCAAATATTCAAACAGAAAGTAAGAGAGGCAGAGAAGAAAAACCTTTAGTAGATGAAGGCCTTCTTTGAGGTCACAAGCTTTGTGTTCTTCAGCTCTTTTATTAGGGTTATTGTTACCATCAAATGCAAATGAAGACGATGAATCTAGGATTTCTTGAGGATTAAGTTGGAGTAGCTATCGTTGTAGCCAGAGCAGGAGTCATCTTCGTGGTGGTCATCGAAGGGATGAGTGGAAGAAAAGTCGACATTCAACTCCTCGTCGTCAATGCTGAAGGCATCAAAGGAAGACGTCTTTACTGACTTTTCTCTCTCAAGAATGTTGAATGGGTGACGGGCATTTTGGTCCATTCATCCCATTCTTTCTTGGATATTATAATGAGTTTGGTCCTTAACTTTCCTTTGGTCCTTGAGCACAATTTCCTTCTTAAGCAGGTCTTTTTTACCAATTCTCTCAAAAGTATTATATTGTACAACTATTTATAAATAATTTCTTATATTTTTTGGATAGTTAAGGCATTAATAGCCAAAAAAAATATTATTATCACTGTATAAAATTTTAAATATTTATGTTTCGTCAATTTTATCCATTTTTTTGTTATCAATGTTGTATAGTTTTATTATTTTAAAGGATCAATTTTTATTTATATTTCTAGGTTAAATTAATGAAATGCACATGGCTAAAATGTTTAAAATCTTAAATATTACCATATTAAATTAATTGATCCTTTAATACAAGAAAACTATGCACCATTGATAACAAAAAAGTAGATAAAAGTAATACAAAAATAAATATTTAAAATTTTATATTGTGATAATAACTTTTTTTTAGCTATGGATGCTTCAACTATCCAAAAAATATAAGAAATTAATTAGTCACAGTTCTACAATATAATTTTTTGTTTGATAATGTTTTTTAGTTAAATGAAATTTTAACCCTTATGAAAAATAATATAATTAAGAATAAGGGATTTTGATAAATAAAATTAAATATTAGGAGGTTAATTTTAAATTTTTAAAGATAAAAAAAGTTATATACAATTGCTTCAAAATTTAGAGAAAAATTTTATACATTTTAACCTTATTTTCAATTTGGTGTCTTATCCTTCAATGAATTTTTAGAGAATTTTTGGGTATGATTTGAAATAATGTCACATTCAGGTCTTAAGTTGAAATTCTTCCTAAAAATTTTCTTATTAATTTTAGTTTTAATAACTCTTTGATGTGTGACGGTAGTTTGATTAGTTTGTTACTTTACTTTTGAATGAGGGCAGAATCACGGGTACAATGCAGTGACAACGGCATTGGGCAGATCTTGAGTATAAAAGCCTTTTCCTCACTCATTGCCTTCTCCTTCACAGTGTGAGCAACACAATCACGAGTATTCTCTCGCTCGATCACTCTGCTTCGCAAACTTGCGTGATTGGAGCTTTCTGGAGTTTGCTTAGCCGCGTGGAAGTCCCTCGCTAACTGGTATTCTCTCTCCTTACTCCTCTCCTTCCCTTCGAATTTGAACGTTTTAATCCTTGTTTCACCGCTCCATTTCATATAACTTTGTCTCTTTGAAATCTCCGACGAACTTCAGATTTCCTTCTCATTTTCCCTCTGAAAGCAGGCGTACTTCGTGATTATTCGTATCAACTCGGAAGTCTCTCTCTCTCTTTTGCTTCTCTCTCTTCTAATTACCCTTCGGGAAAAACCAAAATTGACTGATTGGAACTTTGAAGTTAAATTTTCGAAAATGCTTCATCAGTTCTTGGTCTTGTTCTTCCTGTGCTTCAACGTGGTTGCTCACTTGTTCACCTCTTCCGCGCTCGGTGAAGTAATAACCTGCTCGAATATTGTACCATTGAAGAATCGGAGGTATAATATTTCCCTGACTGACTTCGGTGGTGTCGGTGATGGGCGGACATTGAATACTAAGGCCTTTGGGGAGGCCATATATCAGATTCAACACATGGGAAGGGAAGGGGGCGCACTTCTTTACATACCTCCTGGGGTTTACTTAACAGAGAGCTTTAATCTTACAAGTCGTATGACACTTTACCTAGCCCCTGGTGCTGTGATTAAAGCCACGCAGGTATGGACCGTTCGAAATTCTGCTCATGTTCCTTTTATTTTTTTTAATGTAAATCATTTTAATTCGTTTATTTTTTATAGGAAAATAAACTCTTTGCTCGTTATAATTTTATTGAATTTTATTTTTAATCACTTTTTATCTCTTATAATTTTAAAAAGATTGTGTGATTTTGATTTTTCATGTCTTCGTAGTTTTTATTTTTTAATTGTTTTAATTTTTATATAAACTAAAAATATCAAAAAAAATTAGAGACACTAAAAGTAAAATTCAATGAAATTATAGAGATAAAAAATTATGTTGGCAATTTATTTTAAAAATAATTTTTTATTATTCAGAACAAAAAAAAAAGATTATTTGGTAACATGTTTTTTAAAAAATATTTTGAAAAATAAAAAATAAAATATTATTTTAAAAAATAAAAAATGAATATTTTTTAAGTGTTTTGAAATTATTGTTCTGAAAATAAAAGAGAATAAAAAAAATTTTAAATAGGCCCATTGTTTCTCTTCCTTTTCCTTACTGTTTTTTGCCCTCGAATCTTTTCTCATGATTTAAATCAAAGCTTTTCTGTGATTTTAATTTGATTTTTAATAAAATTATTATAATAATTTTACATAAAAATATATAATACTTATATTATAAACTTAAATTGTTTAGATAAATTTTAATAGTTTTAATGTATTTATAGATTTTTACATAAAATTATAATTAAATATTAAATTACAATTGTTGAAAGTTCAAACAATAATAATAATAATAAAAAAGGAAAATGGAGGGTAACCAGAGGTTAGAGCCGGTAATTTAGGTGGGCTGAGCTTATTTAAATCAAGTTTAATTAGGGCCAGGCTTATTTGAGTCGAGTTTTGAAATACCCCACCCTCTTAAAAAAGTTTATATAGTCAAATCTGATTCTAACTTTTTTCGGTTGAGTTTGGACTGGCCCATCAAGCTTGTCCAAAATTACTAACTCCATATACATATAGAGGTGAAAATTTGAACGGTCAGACTTAATTTAAGCTGAATTTATTCAGATTGGATTTAAAGCATCTTATCCTTTTAAAAAAATGAATACAGTGAAGCTTAACTTTAATTTTTTTCAAATGAGTTTGAACCGATTTATCAGACTTATCCAAATTATCGACTTTATGAACAACTTTCCACCGTGGGGAGGTATTAAGATAAGGAGTGGGGGCAAAAATAGAAAGAAACCCGCACAAATTAGGTGCTTTTAAGAAAAGCGTCATTTCCGCGTGGTAGCATGCGGTCATTTATTGCAATATTAATTGAATTCTTGCAGAGCTGCTTTGGTAGTTAGGTCGTCATTAATTTCGTTTTCCTTGTTAATAAATTAGGGGCTTGTTTGGATACCCATTTAGAATCAATTTTGGGTTTAAAATCATGGTTTTGAAAATTTTTATCCAAACACCCCAATTTTCCCAAACTCCATTTGGTTTTCAAAATTCCATTTGGAATAAGCTAAAATTTGTTCCATTTTAAAAAATCAATATCATAATCAATTTTTGAAATTTATCCAAACACCATCACATTCTAATAATCAATTTTTTTCTTAATCAATTTTTTCCAATTAAAATCCAAACACACCCTAGATTCGGGATATCGCTTCCCCGTTTCATGTCAGTCACTTCGTATCTGGAGTCTGCCTTGCTGGTCTTGTGCAGTATATATTCAGAGTTTCTGGCTAACCTGTCATTGACCTTTATTGAGTGGGAACTGTAGGAAAATACAAAGCATATAAATGTGACTGGTTGAGCAAGAATTTGATTTGATCGCATGATTATGCACTCTGAGCTTAGATAGTGGAATGGCAAAACATAAGTGCATTCACTTGAGCATTTCTTGGCCTTAAAAAAAAAAAAAAATCTTGAGCATTTGCTTTCAGGCAGAGCTATATTGTAGCAATTCCGAACCTGGAGCCTCATCAAATTAAAATGCTACATTGCAATATCTAGAAATTGTAATTTTGCTTGCTGGGAGAAGTACAAAAACTTTGTCAATAACTTCTTGATCGTTATGCTTGTTCCCGATAGAATAAATTTACACCATATACTTAATGGTATTATTGTCCAAAACTAGTGTTCACTCCACTTTTATGTGTGATTTGTTTTATATAAACAAAATCATATATCTAAATAAGCATTTATTAATAATTTCTTAAATTACTTCTCATAATTCACATTAACGAGAAACAATTAACGCATGCTTATATTGATTAACATAGAGTATTTTAGTCTAATTTCTTTATTTTCAAACATAATTATTATAATTAACCAATTTTTTTAGATGTGATACTGTTTTTTTCCTCTTATATGTAGAAATGGAGTATTTTCTCCGTCAAGTAAGATATTTTTTGAGGGGTTAGATGTTAAAAAATATTAGGTATTTTTAATTTTTCAAGGTGTAATCATTACTTTTTTTTCAAGAGGGCTTCTAAATAAATCACTTTATATTTTCTTTTAGAGTAAAACACCCTATTAAATAGGGATAAATATAAAAAGATAGGGTTAATTTAAAAATAAATAATTATTTTATTAAGGGGTGATATTTGGTTAAAAATATCTTACATTTTTTAAGGGAGGGAATATCTTTTTTTACCCTTGCATTAACCATAGGATTCATTCCTCTGAATTGATTGCAAAGTCTATGTTTGAATTTGAAGCAGGATGTATCAATTCTGGAGCTCTGTATTTCCTATTTTTCAATTTTATCTGTATGATGCGTTTGTCGGAAATCAGTATCTCATTTGTTGCCTATCTTTATTGAATCCCCTTGTTCTGCTTCTTATTTGTGGTCTTCCGTGGATGTTCAGAATGCAATGAAATGAAATCTCCTTTATTTATTTCTTTCTGACATATATCTTCGTTTTGTAAAAGAAAAGTAACACGATAGATGAAAACATGGATCAACACTCCTTTTTACGTTTGTATTTAAAATTCTTTCTCACTTGATTCCTTAGGTTACACATAATTGGCCTCTAGTTGCACCATTGCCGTCTTATGGAAGAGGGAGAGAGCTCCCTGGAGGTAGATATATGAGTTTTATCCATGGTGATGGAGTCAATGATGTGGTCATCACTGGTGGGTATCTAATCTTGCTATTTTATGAGGAACTTCTGCAGAAATATTTCTTGCTTGATTTTTATATATAGGAAAAAGGTGATTAAATGAAAAAGGCATGCTAGTACTGCATAGCCATATTTTATTGGGCATCTTGAGACCTGTAAGTTCATTTGTATTAATATTTTTCCTCTTATATTCATATATTCGCAGGTGAGAATGGGACAATTGATGGGCAAGGAGATATATGGTGGAACATGTGGAGGAAGAGAACTCTACAATTTACCCGACCAAGCCTTCTTGAATTGGTGAATTCCACCAATATTATCATTTCAAATGTGATTCTCATTAACTCTCCTTTCTGGAACTTACACCCAGTTTACTGCAGGTATATATCAAATGAGGCTTGACAAGTCTAATTTTAATCTATGGACTATTTTAATTATTATTTATATGCTTCTTTGTGGGGACATTGTTTTACCATGAAGGTGAATTTGTTGAGTTAGATTGTGTTAGTTCCTAATGATATTTTAACTTTTGTCGCTTTCTCCTAGCATAACAGAAAGTAAAGATTAAAGGGGTTGACCTGTTAACCTGTATCCTGATCTAAAACTTTCGCTTCTTTGCAGCAATGTTGTTGTTCGATTTGTCACAATTTTGGCTCCACATGATTCACCTAATACTGATGGAATTGATCCTGGTAAATACTATCTAAATGCATCACAACTCATGCAAATAGATTTAAGAAATGCTGCACCGAACAACCTCTTCTTTTTCTTCTTTTTGTCAGTTTTATTTAGTTGTTGAACTTTTTCTGTAGCTGTCATACCTGTTGTTTTCATACTAAATTATCTGGCCTGAAGGAAAAAGATGAATTAATATTTATTCCTCATTAAATGGTGCTCTCGCAAGTATCTCATCGAGATATTAGTTGCATGTATGTTTTCCCCTCATGTACTGGATGATCAACACCACCAAATTCCGACTCTGATCCGGTAGTAGGATTTGGAAGCATCAATAGAATTATAGCATCAATATCAACAAAGATTGATCCAATTAGTGAAGATTTGATCGATAACCCACAAGGTCATGAGATCAAATCTTGCTGCCAATGTAAGGACCTTGTTGGTGGATAATTTATAAGTATTTCTGTAAGTTCTATTTGAACTTAGAGATGTGCCCTAGCCCTGACATGCCTTTGAGACCCTACTCACCTAGACTTTTTGACACACACACACATATATAAAGAATTATAGCATAAATAACTGACATTTAACATGGAAATTTTTGGGTAAGATTTGCATGTTATGTCTATAATGTCTATAATCATCAAACATTTGACATGTTAGTGGACTGACAAGTCGGGTGTGAATGATATACAATTATCATTCATCTTTCTAAATGATTTGTGCAGATTCTAGTTCAAATGTCTGCATAGAGGATTCTTACATATCCACTGGAGATGATCTTGTCGCTGTGAAGAGTGGTTGGGATGAATACGGAATTGCTTATGGTCGACCAAGCTCTGATATCACCATTCGTCGTGTAAATGGAACTACACCATTTTCAGGGATCGCCGTCGGCAGTGAAACCTCTGGTGGAGTGGAGAATGTACTTGCTGAACATATCAACCTATGCAACATGGGAGTTGGCATTCACATAAAGACAGACAGTGGCAGAGGAGGGTTAATAAAGAATATAACAGTGTCCGATGTGTATATAGAGAATGCAAGGAAGGGAATAAAGATTTCAGGTGATGTTGGTGGCCATCCTGATGACAAATTCGATCCTAAGGCTCTCCCTATTGTCAAGGATATCACAATTAAGAATGTTCGAGGTGTGAAAGTTCTGCAAGCAGGTTTAATACAAGGACTAAGAAATGCCCCTTTTACTGATATTTGCCTCTCTGGCATCAATTTTCTTGGAGTGAAAGGAACTACTAGATCTCCTTGGAAGTGTTCTGATGTGTTTGGAAGTTCTCATCAGGTATCCCCATGGCCATGTTCTGAGTTGACCAGCAATCAACCTGGATCATGTGCCAATCACTCCCAAGTTTAATGGAGATTTTATCTCGCCTAAGTCAATAATAGTTACCAAGTTTTTTTTTTCCCATTGAACATTAATTATGAAAGGGCCAAATGTCAAATTTGCCCTCAAATTATAGGTTAAAGAGCATTCAAAATTCTAAACTCGTCTTTGGTCCAATACTCTTTCAACACTTCAAAACAATACAACGTTACCCCTATTGTTAGCAAATGTTAATTCAAAGTATTAGTTGACGAAAAAACTGAAGAAAATGACCTAAAAATTACAAAAAGTTATAGGGTATTTCTATATAATTTTTTGATCATTTTCTGCAATTTTTTTAGTCCTTTTTTATAATTTTTGAAGTTATTTTGATAATTTTTAGTTAACTAATAGTTAAAACTAACCTTTGTTAATGGTAGAGGCAATATTGTACCAAATGTTGAAGGAAAACATTGCATCAAAAACAAATTAAGGCTTCCAAATATTCCTAGATCTATAATTTAAGGGCAAATGTATCATTTAATCCATTATGAAAACCAAAGGTAATGAATTACTTATGGTACCAATTTGTTCAAATTTGGTGTCACCTGTCAGAAGCCATTTTGTGTGAGCTAAAACAGTTAATTAAATTAGTATGTTCTCACTGCGGCTGGTTAGGATATTAATTGGTAAAGTCATTTCAGGAGGTTACTTCGATCAATATAACAATTTTTAGCATTTTCTAGTCATATTATGAATCTCGTTATGTTTCATTCATTATGATATTTATAGTATCCAAATCTCAGCTTCAGACTTGGATCTCCTGCATATTTAGATTAAATCTGAATGGTGCCAAAAAAATTTTATGAAAATTAATAAGATCTGGATATTCTTTTGTTCCCCTTATATGCTGTACATGAAGATTCATGTGTGGCTCAATCTGCAATCTATAAAGGCATCATTTTACATCTCATGCAAAATTTTAAAGTTAACATGTACAAAAATAAAAGTTTTATCCTAGGTAGGGTCAGTTATATGAGTAGCATAATATCATTATATCCTATTAACAATCAAATCTCTGAATATTTTATTAAATATATCTTGTGCACCCAAAAAAAAAAAAAAAACAAAAAGGCTTAGTTCAAAGCTTGGAGCAATGTAGAGGTTTCGCCACTTTGCTTCATGTCCCTGCAAGATTCATAGGTTCAATGAAGCGTAGCCTGACCCATTTGATTGTGGAAGCGTGGGATTTGAACATAATTCATTTTAAACTCTCTAAATTATGTCGAGAAGCAAATCTAATTGTGAAAATGAAAATGTTTGTAGTATTCATCAGTAAAAATATGGTCATAGTAGTGCAATTATAAATTGTGACTTATTTCTTATATTTCAAATTTAAATGCGACATTGGATTTAAATGGAACGTATAACTTAAACACCAAGTTATAAAATTGATCAGTGAGTAACATGGGAATGACATACGAAGTTACATTGGTTTCTCAATAGGAACTTTTTATACACTCCAATATTCCTCAATTGCAATTACAAATCCAACATTACATTTCCTTCATCATAAACTCTTTTTGTCTACTTCATTCTTGAACCATTGACTAGCATCAATTTAACTCATTTGTAGAGCTCCCTACCGTAAGCGTGTGTAGCTTTTTTTTCTATCAACCTCCTTCCTTCTAAAGGTCTAGGTTGGGCTTAGAACAAAATCAAATTTTAGCCCAAACAATTTTTTGTTAACGACGTTGTAAAGAAATCTAAAAACAAAGAATGCACAATGAAATGACCATGCAACTTTATTGCTAACTTCTTCCTCCGAACCACTTCACTCTAGAGTTTCTTGTGCTTCCATTCATTCTCCATCTTGTACTATCTTTACATTAATACCTACGAGTATTATGAAGCTTGATATCTAGTCCACGCACCACTTCGCGCAAATGAAACAAGCAGACGAAAATTTGGAATAAATGCAACAAATGGATCTACAAAGGTGAAAATTTAAGGAATGTAGAGCCTAGAGAAAACTATCACTTTGACCTATTAAAGGGGAAGTTAAGAGACATTTGAAACTCCTCTCAAGCTCTTCTTCAATATATTGAACATCAAACAATGTACAGACACTTCTTTCTGCAAAATTCTATCCAGTTCCTCCTAAGGATCATGCATTTGGTAGAGAGGAGCAAATCTCCAACATCCAGTAGAGCAACAACACTGAACAGGACTGCAGCATCGTCCCTCTGACATGTTGTTTTCCTATTTTTTCATCTTATATTTTCTGTAATTCCTTTGATAGTAGTAATATTGTCACGTCTGCTCCCAAAATGCAATTCTTACATTTTGCACCATCTATATTTCTTCATTTTCTCCATTTTTGAACATTTGCATCTAGGATATTGTGACAAAGGACTTTGGGAACTCACCGTTAGATTTAGAAGTCAAGTTCATTGTGCCGGTTGAGGATCAACTCCTCTAGCACACCCACGCAACAGAAACAAAGCAAAGACCTTGTTAAGGAATTCAAGATCAGAACATCCTAGGATCACAAACAGCTCCAATTTTTAGCCGCTTCCACCATGATATTCGATTCCTTGGTGGGATTGAGCCGTTGATCTTTTGCCAATGAGATTCCCGAGCTTCTTACTCACCCGTCCAAGCTTTGAACATCATCTATCACGTGGTCAGTTTACAAAGCTTAGAAATAATCTCCGAAAATACCTAGAATTTTGAATATTGGCAATGCCTGTTGGTTAGTTTACTTCCACATCTTTATTTGTTGTGAATATTACCTTAATATTGAAGCTTTATGTAAAGGCTATATACTAATTCTATGATGGAAGGTCGTAGATTCCTTGTCGTAGACAACAGAGTCTCCAATATCAATCAATGGAAATCCTCAGATGGACATTGATGAGATGCTCAGGGATAATCATGAGTGAGTTCCGAACTTGCCAGTAGTTTACTGCCACAAACATTTTGGCTTTGTCAAATCCTATAACTTTGGGTTAAGTGTAAAAATACAGAAATTTTTTCTTTAGGAACTTCCAATATGTTAAGTCAACAATTATGCAAAGACACCCATTAACTTTATAAAAAAAGCTAACCTTTGTCAATTTGTTAAAATTGCCTAACGTTGATGAGTAAGTTCTAAAAACAGATTTTAATGGATTGAGAAATGTCAGCTTCTTTTATAAAGATAATGAATACCATACATTATTGTCGACTTAAGAATGCTAGAAATTTTTAGACAAAAAATTTCTCGATATTTTACACTTTAACCCTATAACTTTTCTATCAATCTGTTAGTGAACTGTTAATTCTGTGGCAGTATTACTCAAATACTATCTCCAAAAAAGCCAGATATAGACTATTTCCATGGCCATCTTTCTAGAGAAATAAGTTCAAAGGGCTAAAAAGCTAGCCATGTTCAGATTCTGGTATTCCAGAAACAATTCTGGTCAGCACATTAGACACTGATTCTCCAATTCCTGATTTCAATTTCTCACTTGATCCTGTGGAAATTAATTTTCCGCCATGTTATTCACTTAATCACGTGTATGAAATTTGTAGAAAGAGTGTATCAACTATGCTTGTTAACTATCACATCAATATAAGAATATTAAAAGAAAAAAAAAAAACACACACACACACACACAAAATAAAATATATAATAATCTGCTGTTCTTACGTAATACACAGTGTAGTTTATTTCTTAAACATCTTAGACATGTTCAGCATGTTAGAACAAATTTAGAAAGCAGAACAATGGATCAACAGTGATAAGTTGATAGCACAAATGTGATCATTGTTAATTTTGGGACTTCGACTTTTGCAGTGCCAAACAACAGAGTCATTCATACAGATAAATTCTCCGTAGTCCACATCTTCATGAAAAGAGCATGACAGACAGTCATCACAAGCAAAAGCACAATTACATATCAAGGAAAAGATTTAAAATAATTACAAATACCTTTTCATTTAAGGACATTGTTTGAGGACAAACCATGATTTATATAGGATAACCAATTAACAGATTTAAGCAAACAAATACAGGTCATCGAAGCTGTACAAGCCATCCAAAATTTAGTAAGATTGCATTCCTATTAGAGATAAAAATATATTTCAGGAAAATGCAACTATTAATTTCTATAGTTTAAACGTGTTTTAATATAGGCCCCTGTAATTTTTTTCATTGCTGCAGGTCCTCTATTAGTTTATCCCGTTTGCAATATTACTCCCTCCATTTTCAAATATGTCTAAAAGAAGGTTGAGGTGATACTAATGATAGAGGGACTAAAGTTGTAGATGGGATAAACTAGAGGGGCCTGGAGAAATGAAAAAAAAAAAATTGCAGAAACCTATATCAAAACATGTTAAAACTATATGAATCAATAGTGTTGTTTTCCCAAAAAATTCAGTAAGTCTGGTATTCACTTCCACTTTGTTTACAAAATGGGTTAAAAACACAAGTGATTGCCCTGACGGTGAGAGGTTGGTCGCAGATTCAAGGATGAAAAGAAATGCCAGTAAAAAATTTGAGAGCAGCATCTGATACAAAATTATAAATATTTGTAGCTACAAATATTAAACTTAAACATACACATGACTTTTCTTCTCCTCCTCGAACTCAGGATCAGAAGTAGCTTCATTTGCTTCTGAATTTTCTGCATTGCGGAGGCCCTCTCTCAGTCCCAACACAATGAACAAGTTAGTCAGAGTGAGAAGTGACTCAGCGCCACCGTGTAACCAATCCACGTTGGACAAAGAAGTCCCATAATGCACCTTTGCTGTCATGTCATGCAAACAGAACTTAGACATCCTTATACTAATTTAATGGGTTAAGGGTCATTTTTTCCCTCAAACTTTTCACGTAAGGTTTGTAGGTGTCATGAGCTCAATTTTGGGTCATGTTTACCCTTGAACTGTTAAAATTTGATGCTTCATTGTCTTGCCGTTCATGCACCGCTTGTTGACCATTACTTGCTAAGGTGGGCATGTCGTGTTAACTTTTTTTGAGACACATGACATCCAAATGGATGTGTTTCAAGACATGTTTGATTAGGTTTTTTAACATTTAAGGGGGAAAATAACCCAGAAAGTCAAGCTTAGGGCACTAGATGTCTCTAAACAAACACTTCAAGGGCAAAAGTGAACCCATTAAATTCTAGCAAAGTATCCATGTGAATGCCACATGGCCCAAAAAGTCAACAAAAAGTGTCCTACTAAGCAAATAATGGTCAACAAGTGGTGCATGAATAGTAAGACAAAAAGGTGTCAAATTTTAAGAGTTCAATGGCAAGAGTAACCCAACAATGAGTTTAGGACACCTATAGATCCTACGCGAAAAGTTCGAGGGCAAAAATGATGCATAACCCTAGTTTAATTGATATCAAGTAGAATGCATCTTTGGAAAAAGTGAATTTACCATATATTCCAGCTGGTACTGCTCAATTGTGTGATCAATGGACATCACGAGGTCCAAAATACATGAAATTAGAAAAGATGGTATCTTAACCAAGAAAAATGATATGCTAAAAGAAATTACAGTAGGGGTGTAGTGGCAATTATGATGTAAATGAATGCAAATATCAACGCGATAAGGCAGGCACGTTTTATATTTCAAGCAAACATAAGAGAACCTACAATGAGAACCAACGATGGATATAGATGTCCATTAGTATTTTCTTTAACATTCTAGGATAATTTGATATGGTCAGTGCCACACTGAAAGAGATAAAAATGAAACAAAAACATAGGACATTGTAATCGACACAAGATATCAATATAAAATATAAAATTTATTAAAAAAATAGTGAAAACAACACTTCATGTCCCTATACTTTAATGAGGTTTTGTTTCTAGTCCCTATAGTTTATTTTCTTAGTTTGCCATTTCATTTGTTTGCTTTGTCTAAAATTATTTTGAAGGACTATGAGCTGGCCCATACAGTGTTAATTTTGCAAAGGTTCAATGCCGTTGTGTTTTTCTCATGTCCATGTCACAAGTGCTAGCGCATAGCCATTTTAAAGAAGTTAAAAATGGTTTCATGATTTTTTTCCGTCAACATGTTTTTTTCCTAGTCAACAAAAAAATCTGACTATATTTTAAAATACAAGGACTAAAATTTTATATTAAGCAAATAAAAGAGATGAGAAATCTGGACAATAAAGTACTCTTCTAACCCTATTTATAGAATGAGAGAAGATTAATTTTGATCCCATTTATAGAGCACCTCACTATTTTTTATGTTTATATTTATCTTTATACCTTTATTAAATACTAGGAAAAATGATTAAAAATAGTTATTTTTGTCCTTATAAGAAACTTGCTAACCTTTAAGACATTTAATGTTTTTTGATGGTAAAACATATTAGAAATGACTTATAAATGGTAAAGGATTAACAAACTATAAGAACTACAACAAAATACAGTCAAAGTATTAGCACCTGATGTGGTATTTTCCTAAAAAGTATTATAGAAAGCTATTCATAATCATAAGCAATCAAGATTCAAGAGTGTAACTCATTCCTCGGCACATATGTTAATCTATCCCCTAACTTGACTCAACGACATACACTACATTGTTAATCAAAGATAACAACAGATTATAACGAAAACTGAGCAAACTACCATATCTGGAAGGAAATAACTGAATCGCCTCGGCAAACATGCTAAAGTATCCCCTTTTTTAACCCATATCTCTATTAACCCACAAACATAAGCCATCAAAATTTGTTCTTAATTCTGAAGCATACGATTTCTAACAAAGAAATTGCATCAGAAGATGAATAAGGGAGAAGAAAGAATCAGAAGAACTCACTTGTAGCGCCAACGAAGGCAAGCAAAAAGTAGAATCCAAAGAGGGTAAGCTTAGGCGAAGACTTGGATTTCGTAATGAAGTACAGGAAGCCAATGTAGGGCAGCAAAGAGATGGCGAATAGTTGGGAAGCTATGCTCTGGGAATCAATGGATGGAACCCATGGATCAACTGGGAGGGGTAGCCCGCAGACAATCCCTCTTCTTTTCGTATAAACATTTGCATCACTGTAACTATTGAATTGCCTGCTTCTTGTCGGTGAGAATATGTGAGCATATTGAACAGAAGAAGAAGAAGAAGAAGAAGCTAGAAAGCTTGATGGGGTGCGCAATTTGGATGTTTTACAGAGTAAAAGAGGGAAGGTTAGTGCCATTTGGAGAACGCTTACCTTAATCTTATGCGGCTTCAAACGAATTGTTTCTGTAGTCGCGTCAGGAAGATAGGAGGAGTGGAGGACCCACAAACGTTGGCCTGTTTGGATTTTGGAATATCATATTCTTTTTTTTTTTTTTTTACTTTTTTTGACCAACCTTTTTTAAATTTCATTATTTCTTTTTAAGTTAAATATGATTTTTTTGTGGGGAAGTTACAACTATTAATGCTATATTTTAGCTTGTTTTGGTGTTTGTACATATACTTTTTTCTATTTTTGTTGCTCCAAATCTCTAAAGTTTAATCTATATACAACATTAGTCTTTATGATCATTAATAGAGTTAAATATACCGTGTACATAATTCTATTAATATTTTATTGATTAGACAAAATTATAATGAGTTAAATATTATATGGATAAAATGACTACTATCCTTTCTATTTATCTACCCTAACTATCACATCTTATTTCTCCTGAAATTTCATCCATTGCACATTTAAGAATTTTGATTTAATGTCTTGCCTTTTTTTTCATTTTTTATACAGTTTTTCATAATTTTTCTTGGACATAATAGCTTGTGACATTATGTTTAGTTTAAATTTTGATGATGACAAATATAGATGAGTTAACTATACTTATGCCTAATTATTTATATATATATATAGTAGTTAATTATGACTATGGAACAATTGCTTTAAAGTGTTTCTACTTATTTTGTTCTTTATTACATTAGATTTGGAAAAAATAATTTATGTGCATCAAAGTTATTTTATACTATTATATTTTTCCTTATATTAACTTGATTTTATATCCAAGAATGTTCAAAGTATCATCTTTCATAACTTGGATATATATTGATACTTTGACTAATCATTTAGTTCATATTATATCATTTAAGGTTATCCAAAGTGAAGATAAAAATAAGCATGATGAGGAAGAAATTAAATTCACCATTAGCATGCACATGACATTCAAAATGGGAGAACAAAAAGAAAATGATGATCCAAGAAGAGCTTAAGAAGAATAAAAATATTCATACAAGCTTGAATACATCTTGAAAGCCTTGAATTTAATAGGTATAATATTATTAGGTTAAAAGTCTTTATGTTAAACTTATTGATTTATATATCCAATATTGACTCAAACTATTTTAAATTAAAACATACATTTTAGATCTTAAGAAAAAGAATGAGATATAATTTTATATAATCATGTTTTTCATCTTTGATCACATATATCCAACAAGATTTTAAATTTTTTGATTAATAACTCCATAATGTTTTCAAACTTTTTCTATTTACTCAAAAAGGAATTAAGTTAAAAAAGTCATGAACACTTGAAGTCTAAGCTTTGAAATGGCAATTGTGCAGAAAATTAATTTTGACCTTTAGTCATGTTTTTTATCATATCTCTCACTACATAGATCATTTTAATGTAAAACATATCTCATTTGAAAATAGACTCTAACAGCTTTTCAATAATAGTTTATTTATTCAAAATAGAATTTCATTGAGAAATATATGAATTTTAGAATTTGAGTGTTGAGATATTAATTTTGCACATCATTTAAACTTGACCTTCTTTTACTCTTTTGATCATATCTCAAAAGTTACATTGAATTTAAGTGTGAACTTCTTTTACTAAAAACTAGACTTCAAGAGCTTTTCAACAATACATAATTTGTCAAATTTGAAATTGTATTGAGTAAGTTAGAATATTATAAAATTATGTACAGTGACGCCTTCCAAAACATGCTACGTGTGATTCATACTGAGACACGCATGATTTGTCTTGAAATAACCTCAATGTCCATTTCAAGCGTGAGACCTCACTACACTCGCACATGAATTAGCCTTCAGAAACCTTATTTTCATTGAATAGCTTTTATGGTCCAAATCATGCGTGAATTACTTTGTACACACATGTGAAACATTACCTAGAAACCTTGTTTTTATTGAATAGCTTCTGTGATCCAAAACAAGTGTGAAACACTTCTCACACACACGTGAGACTTCTTCCAGAAGTCTTATTTTCACTCAATAGCTTTTGTGGTCCAAAATACGTGTGAATCACTTGCTACATATGCATGATTTTTCACCTGGCCTATATCACATGATGTTTCAAGTGTGATTTGTCATGTTCCTAAGCGAGATTTGTCACCTATACATGTGAAATGTTCATTTCACGTGTGAATGAGCTTTGGTTTTGCACAAGGAACATCACCAACGGCTATAATCATTGTGCAATGACTATAAATATTCATATTATGTCTCTAACACCTATTTCAGTCCATAAACTATAAATATAACACTCCAAACTTATCTTAACAAGAGATTAACCTCAAAAATTATTAAACTATAAAATTCGTGCTCATATTACTCTTATTATATAAAAATTATTGTTCTTGAGCTAATATCATTTTCATCTTCATCATTTGAGTATTAGAACTTCATTGTACTCATCATTACTCTTAGAGACAGTTTTAACTGAGTGATTTATATATTATAAATTATTACAAAGGTGAGGGAGAGATTTTCTTTGTAATCAAGAGAAGTTGTTCTCTTAGAAAAAAAAAGCTTACTAGTGAAGTGAATTGATGCAAAGACTCACAAGTGACTCAACCAAATTTATGATTGTATTAAGATGGCAAGCACTCACTTAAGCTTGTGTTATAATGAAGAAATTTCAAGTGATTGCTTGGGGATTTGATATAGGCTCAAGTGGTGAAGTTGAACCAAGATAAATCATTGTTTGCAATCTCTCTTTCTTTATCTTTTTATATTTCCAAACAACCTTAGTTTATGCAATGTTTTAGTGTACAAAAATTGAATTCGATATATCTACATGCTCTTACTTAAAAAATTTTTCCATAGAAATTGTTTTTACACATATTGAGTTTGTGAAAATGACTTTAGCATTTTTGCAATCAAAGTTTAGAACTTGAATCTACTCAAAGCTTACCTTACACACATTTTTATTGAAAAAGTTTTAAAAGAACCGAAATTTCTTCACACACCTAATTTACCCCCCTCTTGGATGTGTTGCCATATCTAACAATTTCAACAAGTTAGTACAAAAAAGTGACAAAGTTTATGTATATGCTAGACATGATTAAGTTCTTATAATCATATTTAAAAATATAGGGATTCATGTTGCAGATAGATGAAACTCATACCCTATTTAGTGTTGGATAGGAAGGTGCAGCGGAAGATTAAAATTTTGAATTCCTATCTCGATGTGGACCGATCGTTTAAGTTAAGGTGGAAAGAAGAGTTACTTTTTTTCTTTTTGTGCTTCACGTGTGTTTTCTTCAAGAGTCTAGATCTTAGGAACTGACAGCTCTCTAACTTGAATGGCGTGCTAGCGCTCTCAGCGTATATTCTTCTTTAAATGTTGGTTTTTTTCTCTCTAGGGTGTTTCGTAGCTCTCAAAGGGTTTGGCCATCAAAACTTTTCCAACTCTCTCTCCTGTGCGTGTCCCCTTGTATTTATTATATATATAAATTAGGGTTTTTTGTCTTCCTCTTGAAGAGCCAACCAAAATTTAGATTAAATTTATCTCATAAATAAAATATATAATATCATATCTAATTTAAATTTATCTTATAAATTCAAACTATAAAACTGATATGATATTCTCTCATATCATGTTAGTTATTAAATTTAATCTATTGTATAAATTTAAATTTAAAACTAACACAATATAATATAATATAATATAATATATACATATACATATTATATTATACATATATATACACACATGAATATATATATATTTGAAATATATATAATTATATTTTACATTTTATATTCAAATAAATATATATATATATATATATAAATATTTATCAAATAAATATTCAACGTTATATATGTGTGTGTGTATAATTCATTCACTCTATATTACATTCATTGAATCTAGACATATTTCAGATTCATTGAACTTGGACATTAGAGCTCGAGTTGAGCTATTCTTATTTGCGATGCTGTAGGCCACAAGTCATAAATGACCTCTAGCAAGACATTACAACTAACCAATTCATATAAGGATCAATGATTCAATGTAACCTTTCATATAACCGTATCACATCCCTCTTATCACGTGATATTTCAGTCAAGTGTAAGATATGAAATTGTAATTCTCCTTTACCTAACCATTACTTTATCGATCTTTGAGTAGACTAACACAAAAATGGAAAAATCCTTTCTCTTGTAGTATAGCCATACATGTTTTTAGTCTTACTCATCGAGTGGCCTAGTAATATCTCTCAATTAACATGAGGGACAAATTTCATCTTGATCACTTAAATTTCTTTGTATGAATATGACTAAATTTAATCATAGCCTTTATGATCACCTAATCAAAGGTAACTTTTGATTAAGTCAAAGTTTAATGATTATTATATAGGAATTCATGATGATCCCAAGTCAAAGGGTTTAGTGATATAGTTACATATGATATAAGCTTATAACTTGTACCATGTAGCTTTCTCATAGTGGGTAGGTCCAGTATCTTGTACTCTTTCAAGTGCCTATGACTTTGATTTATATTTCTATAATTAATTAAAGTTATACTAGTCTTGTTTCATCTATGATCCCTCGTAAATGACCGATTATGAATATTTAGAACAATCACTATAGTTTGTCCTTAGATATAGTTATTATAGTGAACATGTAATTGATATAATAACAAAAAAGAAATTTATTAAATAACAATGTGCATAGTGCAATAATTGGCCTTAGGGCATAATTTCTAATATTTGGTATAGAGAATTGTTTTTTATGAAAGTGGAAGTAGAAGCAAAAAAGAAAGTGGGATATAAAAGTATGTTTGGAATGAGATGGAAGTGTGATAAAATTTTTATTTAATATTTTATTTATATTTTGAAAAGATTAAAATACACTTGAAAATAAAAAACCCCGCATTAAACCTTCAGCACACATAAAGCAAATGCAATTGCCCTAAGAAACCATCGTTGGAGAAAATCATGGAAAAAAAAATCCCATGAAACTAGATCATGAAAAATTGTTGGAGAAAA